GTTTGTACATATCTCTTTTCTTTCTGCATCACATTGGTGAACATTATTTAAAAAATTTATGAATAATGACGTCGACTTAAATCAGACATTCAAACGATAACGTTCTCCTGCCATTGAGAGCCGAACGATGCTAAATTATCTTAAAAAATTGCTTTGTAAAAAAATTGCATAGTACTACATACATATTATAGCTTTGTTATGCGAATATAACGTTAAGGAATTATAATTTTGTCACTGTGATCTTTCTAAATTCTGTTTACATTCTCAAATGTTCTCACGTTTCGGCAAAATAACAAAATTAATAATGCAAGATAGACTGGAAAGCCTCAGTGTAGCCACGATATGAACGCGTGATTGTGATTTAGATATTTTTATTATTAAATTTAGATACTACAGTAAATGTTATTTAATGATAATATCAATAATGTTGCAATGTTGAGGTATACGAATGCCTTTTGAATGAAACGTAATGAAATTTTAAAAATTTTAGATTCAAGATTCATAAGATACGACTCTGCGATGTATATCAAATGCATTTTTTTCTTGTAAAGATATATTAGAAATATACAAATATGTTCAAATATCGCAAATTGTTCTTGTAATCTTACAGCTAATTTATATTTAGTTATGTTTACTTAGCTGTAACATTACAATATGTCAACGTCATAAACTAAATATGTTTCGAAAATAAAAAAAAGAAACAAAAAATATTACGTAAAAAAATGACTATAATACAGAAATTACGTTTCCTTCGACTAATTGTAACACGATGAGAATCAAGATGATAAACAAAAGAGAACTGACAGAGTGAAATAATCCATTTGAATAGCTTCTCCTTTCCGTGCTTGTTTGCTATTTATTTATAAAATATGTGCTCCAATACTTGCAATTGTATAGAAATTTCACAAATGAAAAAATTACCTCTTACTACATCTTCGCGGCTACTCCAAACATAAATGCTCCAATGACTTTTTTTTTACTAAAACATGTAGAGGAATAAAAGTAAAGAATAAACATTTATTTGTACATACATCAAAGTATATAAAAATATCGCGAACAAGTATCTAGAGTTGAAGTACTCGATTGTAAGTATCCTTGATATATAGTAGGCACATTGCCTCGTTAATTCACAGAAAAACAATACCATCTTGTAAGGTGCATAATTGCAGCAAATATATAGAAAATTAATATTGGATTGTTTATGCGATACATATTTGCGATAAAGGAACGGTAAAAATCAATGTGAAAGAAATGAAAAGTTATAATTCTTATATAGAGATTATTTTAAAACCATTATTAGCTAAAATAAATCTCAGCTTTGTAATTGTTTGTTTTGCTTCACCTACATTTATATATATTTTATTTTTAATGAATTTAATAGCCAGTGCATATATATATATATATAATGTTATACATTTAATTAAATTTTACGAACATAATCAAATCATCTTAAATAATCGTAAATTAGCTTAAGCTGACTGCTCGTCGTTTATCTTAAAGACAGTAATTATTAGAGTAAAATTTATTACAAGGTTATGTGATAATTACCCTATAGACACACACATTGTGACGTAAAAAAAGTTGATAAGAGAAATATGTACAATTATCAGTATATACAATTGAATAGTTGAAGTTGAAATAATTAAAAGTATATTATGAGTTTACTGAGTATCGCTTCGTCGATCGCTACTGCAAAAGATAAAACATTTTTGTAGATACTTGACAAGTGCAGCACGTATAAATTTGAAAGCGATAACTACAGGTGAAGGTAATATGTTTACAATGCATGTCACAATATATATCAGTACAGCTGAAGTTATTTATAACACTTGCATTATTTTGTTTCATTTTATGTAAGTAATTCGTATTCCAATATATTGGAAAGGTCAATGTAAATGAATCGGACGTTCAGTCCGCCTGATATCGAATATCTTGTGTATGATCAATTAATGTGCATTTATAATTTGCTAGCGAAAATAGTCAGAAGAGATCATTAATCCAAATTTAATGAATAAATTACATTTCAAATGTATATTTATATTTTCTTCGTTTTTTTTTTTTGCTATTTTAAAGAAGACTCGAAAATAAATGACGCAAAATTGATATGCTTATTTATTCAATATTTATCCATTTTTTATATACGCAAGACACGTTTTAAAATAATGGAGAAAACCTGATTTAAGAACATAATTTATACAATGGTACTTCGCATTTCGCACTCAGCGTGCTAAATATTTCCCGCACTCAAAACGTTCGAATATTGTATTTATTATTTTATAGGTATTTTCTTTGATTACAAGCTGACTCAAATCAAAAGAGATCTATCTAAAATACTAAAGCGTAATGTATGTGTGTATGTGTGGTGTGTGTGTGTGTGTGTGTGTGCGCACGCGCGTGTGTGTTACACACACACACATTACGCTTTAGCATTTTGATTCAAGTAACTAGTACTCACAAATAATCATCCAAACGTACTCATTAATTTGCAATATTTAAATCTTTATCTTAAAGATTTGTTTAAAATAAAAATTTATAAATAACATTTCTTACTTAATTTTTCGAATTTTTCAAACTTGCCTTATAGGATTTAATATTTTATAATATATATAATACAGATATATATAACATATAGATATATGCAATATAACACACACATAGATTCCGTAAAGATAACAGAGATTTGCTAAAGAGTTTTACGCCCATATCAAACTAATGTGATTTTGTAGGCACTCGACTGCCAACTCTGACTACCAAATAATAATGATCTAATTACAATTAACGAGGTTATCTGACTGTAATTGGTTCACTATGGATCGACAATCAGAGTAGGCAGCAGAAACAAAAAACAGGTCTGCAGAATCATTAATTTGATATGGGCGTAAAACACTTTAATAAATTTCTGTTTACGAAATCTGTGTGTGTGCGTGCGTACGTGTGCACATATATACATATAAAGTTAGTATTCTAATACGAACTTTAAGGGATCCTACAATAAAAACCGAACTCCGAATCTTTGTTTTACCGATTCAATAAGCTTACACACACGAGTTAAAGATCTTCTACATGGAAATCGTAGACGGTCATGAAGTTTCAAGTCGTAGAAAACTGACCAATTTTAATCGAATATTCTTCTTATATTTGATTGGTTGATTTCCTACGATTTAAGACTCCACAACCAAGACTTCTATGTAGAGGATCCTTTAACGGTACAGAATCGTGAGGCTCTGAAACAAACCACCACGCATGTTACACTCATGTGAGACATCATGTATTGAAATTCGTGAAGTCACATGAAACAAAACAGCACATTGGTCGCACTAAGTGTACGATGTTACGGCATGTAAAATTTTTAATAATTCAATCATCTTGAAGCCAATTATGGGAACTCAACATCATCATCATCGTCATTGGCTGCATTTAGCAGACTTAACAGTTGAGCGCTTGTTGTTATTGGTGTATTCTTCTAGATCATCCAATTAAACTTTTAGATGTTGAGTCTGCTGACATTTAAAAGTTTAATTAGATGATCTAGAAGAACGCAGTTAAAAAAAAGATAAAAATTTTTTGCTGAGAATTTCTCATCATACTGCGCCTTTTATTCAGTTTGATGTAGTTTTTTAAATACGAGTAACTGAATTTCGCTGTGTCTCTCTATTGTGCACTGCTTGAAAATTAGATATATTGAATATTTCTGTACGAAACTAGTCACGCGTAAAAGCATCGTGTAATTCCAAAGTTATAGCACGCAGTTTTGTTTTAATGCTAGCACTGTAATATAATTTGAAGTAGTAATTAATCTGACGACATTGACTTGCACGATACTGTACAATATCTAAATTATAAAAATTACAGCTTGTTCAGCTGTGACTTTTTGCTAGCTATCTGGGAAACTACGACATGATAAAAGACTTTAATTTCAAAAATTTATGTACATATATAAATTGATGATATAAATAATATAAATTCCACACTACAGATTAATATTATCGCGTTATCCTATGTTTTGATTTTGAAAAAGAATTTTCATATGTGCAAAAATAATATATGCAATCTATCTACAAACATTGCGGTTAATCGATAAAACAGACAGCTTTATGATTCTCTACAGTAGTTGTCTCTTATGCACATTTGCTACAGAAAAACATATATGTATACATTGTATTCACGATAAATTTTATTTTCTTCCTTTATTTTTGTGTTAAAATTCTTCTCTTCCTTTTATTTTTGTGTTAAAATTAAAAAATTTTTGTCATTAATTAACGTTTTTTATATTTACAAAATATATTTATTGTATACTAACATTTAATATAATGTGACATCTCAACAATGTTCTTTCACGTGCTAAAGTTAAGAATATAAATTCTTAAAACATTTCTTGAAAGTTTAAAAATATTTTATATTATTATATAATATTATAAACACATTTACAAAATATTAGATGAAAACGTTGATGAAATTTTCATAAAATCAATATATTAAGATATTGATCTAATGTTTCCTGCTTACTACAGAATAAATTCGGTAAGTTCTATCATTAAAAAAAGTTTTTTATATCTCTCGAAATTAAGACCACCTGCACCTTATATTTCTTGTATCGAAAACTTATATATAACATCGGAAGCAACGGTTATTTGGAACCCAATTATTTAAAAAATAACTTATTTAAAAGGTTAAGTAAGGTTAAGGTAAGTAAAAATATTAAAAGAGGAAAATATTAAAATCCTGTTTTTCTACAAAGGCTCCTCAGTGTGTGATATCAGGGTCCTATGTAATGATATAGTATTACAAATATAACACTATTAGTGGTAAATGACATTCAGTTGAAATTGAAATTATATTTCTATTTAAAGTTAAATAAGAAAGTAATTTTTAATTACTTTTTAAAGTAATGTAATTAGTGTTATGTGCGAGAGCTGTATGATTCGGTAGTTTAGCAGATTCAAATTATATACATATCAATATTTATATTACGTCGATGAACGTACCCAGTGTTTTTGACCTTTTACAAGCAATTTTTGCAAACGCTACCTCACATCATTTTTATACATTCGGTGGTTAATTACAGATATACCGTAATATAAAACAGTTAGAATGGCAGAACAAAAAGCAACATTCCGTAAACATCACCAGTGCAGAACCAATTGCCAGAATCAATTTCCAGTTCGTCAGTGGATACGTAGACATTACACAAAAATGCCAAACAGTATTTACGCGAAATGTCATCATTGTCCGAAATTCATAACAAGTCGATTCCCAACCTTTTTACGTGATCACTTGGTACGGAAACATTCGAAAGAATTATCAGAAGAAGAAAAGGAAGATGAACGTACTCATTGGATATCGGATCATTTTATCGAAATAAAAGACACACAGTTCGCGAAATGTAACGTATGTAACATAATAATAATGGACGATAAAAAGAATAATTTACAAGAGCACTTAAAAAGAAAGCACGGGTAAGTATATTCTAAAGGTAATGAAAAATTGATATGGAAGAGCAAAATTAACAATAATTCATAGTAATAAATAAATAACACCCAAAGAAATATAATAGTTAAAATAAGTACTTAATTAAAGCAATAGGCACATATCAAAATATGTGTATTATTACCATGTTTAGTATCCAGAAAAGTACAAATTAATAATATTAATAATATTCTTTCATTTTAATTTTCGTACAAGAATAATTAGATCTAAGATTTGTATTTACTAAATTGCCATGCTAGATCGCATGTCCAAATAATATAAGTTGAAAGTTATAAAACAATACATTTGTTCGCATAAATGGAGCAGCGTATATAATTGAAACAAATTTCTATATTGTTATTTTTTACTTCTTTAACCATTACTCTATATTTAAATGTAGGATTTTAGTTCCATGTTCAGATTGTTCAGATGTTACGGATTGTGTGAGCAGCGATGCAAACACGGATACAACTGTAAAAGAAGATGAAATACACTCAGCAAGTTCATCTAAAATTTGTAAAAACACGGAACAGATAGGTGTTCTTGATAAGTAATTATTCATTATAATTTATTATATTTATTATATCATAGATTATTTGAATTAAACATTGCATTTCTTATACGAATATAAAAAATATTAATGGCATGAAGAATAAGTAATAGAAAAAGTTATATTAATCAAGGAATAACTAAACGGTTGGTTGTAATAAGTAACAAAATTTCAATGCTTTGTATTCAACATTTGTATATACATATATGTGTATACTAGTGTCCAAATAAATATCATTTGAAATGTAGAAGTATAGGGATTGTATGGGAAAAATATTTAATTATAAATATATTATATAAAATACAGATATTTACAAAATTATCTGGGTACAAATACAGGTAGAGCATAAAAGTATTTAAAAAATTTAGATATTTTTAGGTATTTTAACAAAAAGAAAAGAAAAAAGAAAAACAAGCTGCAAGTTTTATTTTACACGAAATTACTATCTATATAGTAGGTAGAAAAATTTTTGTAAATAAAGAAAGTAAATTTTTGTAAGTAAAGCAAACTTAGTTTTAGCTTAATGTCCAACATATAATGGTAAAATTGTAGAGATTATAAACATTTATTGTTCGTTTCAACTTAATTTCCAAGTTATAATAGTAAAAATGTAAAGAATACAAAACAATACTGCTTACTAATGTGTATGATTTTTTCTGCACCTGTAATAGACTCTATAGAGCTATGATGTTAGGACCAATTATAGATGACCGCGTTACACGATCAGTTTACTATTCTCTTTCTATGAGATTCTTTAGTCGTTATTCCCTAATTAGTAAGCACTAAAATTTCCTATGAGGTGAAACAAATAAAAGCATTTGCACAAAGAGAATTGAAAAAAATGATAATTTATATAATAATCAAAAATTAAGTTTCTAATATTATATTATATTTCTAATATTATAATATAAAATATATAAATAAATAACTTGTATCTACGTATCTCTAAACTTAAAAAGTACTACAAATCCAGGTACAAATACAAGTATTTCCGCCTATAAGGATTTAAATAATGCTAAATTTACATAAAGCTAAAATAATTAGATACTTTATGTAGATACTTTTTTACCTAGACATCATTGGTAGATACACACACACACATATATATATATATATATATATACATACATATATATAGATATATATGTGGATATATATACATATATATGGATATATATGTGGATATACATATTTTTTTAAATTAAAAGTAACAGTTATTGTATAATTACAGATAATAAATATTTTATTACATTTTAATTTTTTTTCATATTATATATACAGATCCGTGTCGAGCACTGAATCAACAGACGATGTTTCGGGTTTTTCTCCCCATAAAGATGTGACAAAACATTAATCATTTTCTAGCCAATCAACATCTGCAGCATTCGACATTTCTTTTCCAAATCTTGCGAAATAAACTTGGATCTTTTTACACAAGAATAATTTATATTGCGTAAATTATCATTCATGAATATATTTTAATTATTACTATTGTATCAATAAGCTGAATATTGTGAAAGGTTTAAACTTTTTGTTTAAATCTATTTTGCGACTCGTGTAGTATTACACAAGATATTATAATCCGTCTAGATAATTTTGTAAATATTTTATATTAATAGTTTTTCTAAATTAAGTATTATGTTGATATTATTCGACAATTGAATCATGATGACACTGAACCATGTAATATTCTATTTCATATTCATAAAACGTGTACATCAATTGCATTGATTTTATATATTGTTTAATGGCTAAATGTAATTTCCATGATTTGTTGCTCACTGCTAGAGATGAATCCCCTTTAATCTCTATTGTGATTTTAGTTTAATATCTTTAAGGTAGTTTAATATCTTAAGATAATTCACTATCTTAAGATACACTTGCAACAATACCATCTAAAAGTTAGATACTTTTAACTTTTTTAATATTTATTAAGGAATTTATATTTTCGGTTATACTGTAAAGGAAATATAGTATTCATGATTCAGTGTGCAAAGATCATTCCTTATATCTCGACAAAGAATTTTACACAAGTTATTTATCTTCTATTTATCAGTCACACATAAAATAGAAATATTAAATTACATAGATATGTAACTTATATTTCTTGCAATACTACAAGAAATTAAAAAATCGAAAAAAATTAAAAGAGAAATAACATGTAGTTTTACATATATAATATTAAGAGAGAATAATACAATTACCTATTCAGCATACGATATTTCAAAAATATCTTTAAATATTTATTAAATATTTTTACTAAAGTGTTCCAAGTATCCGACAAATATCCGATATCTGTTTGGATAATTGTCCTATCAAATATCCGAAAAAAAATATCGGATATCTGATATCTAATACTTTTATGATCTAATGCAATCCTAATTTAAATAAACATTTAAAATATGTTTTAGAAATATTGTTTGCTGATTAGGTACTACATGATTAAATGACTGAATGAAATGGATAATCTTTGACTAGTAGACACAACAAATTAGTTTTTAATTTATTGTGTATATGTTTACCAACAATAATAAATAATAATTTCTTCTTATATTCTTAAAAAGAAATAATTACGTGCTAATGTTTCTAAATATATGTATGAATATATATAACAATAAATTAAATAAATATTTGCAAATTAATTTATTTGCAATGTCTTTAAAGTTAATTAATTTTAGGAATCGATTCCTACATAGAAAAATTTATAACATTTCCTCATCTTGTCAATATACTGTATTTTTTAAATCTCAACTATTAATATATTTTAGCCTACGTGTTAGTGTTTCTATCGTAACTAGGGTTATCATTGATTTCAAGAATATATGTACTTTTTTGAGATTGTGAAACAGTGTACTCTTACATTTTATTTATTGAAATCAAATGTACTCTTTTTTTAAAAGATAGATCAACTTGAGATAAAATTCAAATAACTCTTTTAAATTTAAAAACGAAAAATGTGTAAATTGATAATGTTTCGAACATCTAATTTAAATATATTTTTGGATAGCATGGACACGAAATTATTAAGGAAAATGTTATCAAATAAATAGATATAGATTACTTAAAAAACATTTGATCTTCAAAATCTTAAAGAGTGCGTTCTGAGTTACGCATGAAGTGCATGATGTATCATTTTATCTTTCTTTATTATTCGATGAACAATAGAGAACAAATATTGCGCGCGCGCATAATGTGCTTTATGCGTTATTCGGAACGTACCCAAAGATATATTCTTTTTTTTTACAATTCCAAAGTATAATTATAATATGGAAAACTTTAGCTTTATAAACGCTATTGGATTGAGGAGAAAAATAAACTGTTCATCCCGTTAAAAAATTTAATGGTTCAATATAATTTTATTATAATAATTTAAAACAAAATGATTGTTTATAGTTTTACAATTATTGTACGGTAACAAGAAATTGTTAACTGGTATGAAGCAAGATCAAATATTCATTATGAAATTTTATATTTATATATAGTAATATAAAATGTTATTATATATAAATGTGTGCGTATATATACAGAATATTTGATAAGTAATGATAGCATTCTTGCATAGGGATAAAGCAGACTAAACTGAATCGAAAAGTCATTTTGCAATTTTCGCGATAGTTAGTGAAATATCAATTACTAAAAATCATTAAGTTCTATCAACTTTACAGAAAAACAGCAACAGAAAAAAATTGTTTTTTTTTGTTCTCATAGAGCTCCAAGAATTTTTTCAGAATTTTTTGTTAACTTTTTATCAACTGCATTTTCTTATACATATATTGGCAACTATTTTTACCAACATAAGAAAATACGGTACTAAAAAATTCTGAAAAAATTCTTAGAACTCTATGAGAAAAAAAATCAAACAATTTTTGTCATATGGTTTTTTTTTTTGTAAAATTGATAGTATTTGAGTAAAAAATTATTGAATGAAAACTAATTCGACGATTTTTAGTAATTAATATCTTTTTAATGAAAAATTGTATAAAATGATAGGACTTTTCGTCTCAGTTTAGTCCCATCTACCTTTCTGTGAATTATTGCTAGGGTCTCGCTGCACACCCTGTATATATATTAAAAGAAATATGATTATATAATCACGTGTGTTTTATAAAATATATTTTTTTGGACATAAATATTAGGTCATCTAAAAAGTATCCGCGGTTTTTTGTCACTAGATGTGTGTTGATGGTCATATATCTAGTGACAAAGTACCGCGAATACTTTTTAGATGACCCATATATATCGAACTGGTTTCGTATTTTACACACACACACGCGCGCGCGCGCGCGCGCGCACGCGCACACACACACACACACACACAATATATTTATATTTGTAAATCAAGATCCTTTTAAGAGATGGAATTTATTCAACGTCACGAATGGTCGCTTGCCGAACAAAAAACAGGAAAATTTCTTCAAGAATGTATAACATCTGCTTTTTTCCGCTTTTTGCGGGCCGTTCCACTACCCGTTCCGCGTACACGTAGATTGTATATACACGTCGACAAGCGGAACGGCCGACGCACACATGACGCCGGCGATCATCCGATATTACGTCACCATCGCCCTCTTGCTTGGTAGCAGAGCCGGGCCCGCTCTATCGCCGTTCCACAGTGGCCATTCATACATACTCGCGACGCGATAAAGCGCGATAAAGCGGACGCGACGCAGTGCATAGTGAGTGTCGATAAATCTTCACCTTGAGGAATCGCGTGTCTCCGGTTTTCCCGATTATCAGATTAACACACAACGCGCGATAAGCCTGTGATCACGCGAGATCGCAAAAATCCCTCTCCCCTTTCCAGAAAAGGGTGCTTGGTGCGGAATTGCGAAATCACTTCGACACTCCCCCCTCCATCGCTAAAACGACATTCACGCCGGCAAATTTTGAAGACCGGAAGGCGCGGCTGTCACGCATAACGGTAAGGCGGTGTCATTTTTAGGAGTGCATTCCTTTCACGCATGATGAGCATGATGTATCATTTATCTTTGTTGTTTATTGAATTTTAAAAATAAAGAATAAAAATGATATATCATGCACATCATGCGCGAAAAGTAACGCACCTCAGAATTCGAGTAATGTTATGACGCAAACGAGCTGTGGAATTCCTTGCGTTCCGTATGTCATCGCTCCGACGTGTCACGCGCGTCGTGTTTCCGAGGATGGATGCTACTGATCGATGCAAGGCGACAAGAGAGCCAAGAGTGTTTTCTTGCAACTCTTGAAACGTTGTCTTGGAATGTTGTGGTAACAACGACAGTTCTGTTCTCTGTAGCCGCGCTGTTACACTTTTCAAGCTAAAAATAAAATAATAGCGAATTCGGTCCTATTCACTTACCTAGATTGGTAAAAGCTGCAGTACGTGAAATTAGCAAAATTAAATGTAAAGCAGGTAAAGATATAAATATTCTGTACTTCTAATAATAATAATATTATCGCGTTATTTAACAGAATGAACATCTATTATTTCATTATAAAAGTTGATTATATTTTTCACTGCATTTATATATAGATACTTTGTATAAAGCAGCCTTTAATATGCACTAATTCAGTGCGAGTGATCGAATTCACATAAATAATATTAGTGAGAAATGACAATGGAATCGATGTCGAATCGATGTCAATTTGATGTCGATTCTATTGTCATTTCTCACTGGGTACAATATTTTCTTTCAAGTAGGACACAGAAATCATAATAATATCTGACCTTATTTGTTACTTATAAGTTTATTTTTATGTATCAATTACGATATCATTATAACTTAATTATGACTCTGTGTTCTACCTGGGATTAGACATTTATTCCTTAGATTAGATTAGACCTCGATAAACAGAACGTCTAAAATTGACGCGCGCGCGTATAGTAAGACAACTTTAAGATATCTTTAAGAGTTCTTTATGAAACATCTGATAAATATTTCTTAAAAAAACTCAAAGATATCCTAAAGTTATCTTATGTGCTGATTTCAAACATTCTATTCATTGAGACTGCACTCTTTTTCTCGCTTTCGCCAAATATCAATATATATCCATCTCGCTTTAAATTTTAAAAGTGTACATTAATTCAGCCACAGAACAGAAAACAGACCTCATGAATAAAAGGAAAAGGAAAGCTGGATAAAACGTGCGACTGCAAAGAATAAGCTTAACATGCTGCAATGGGAGCGTCGCCATTGTGGCGTTGTTCGAAATTGATCTTCATTCGCGTAATTGGGAGGGGCGTTCGATATTAATTAGTGCACAGTTAATTCGATGAGATGCTGACAGCGTAACAATATGTATCGTAAATGAGAAACTGTAGAGAGAGAAAGAGAGAGAGAGAGAGCGGAAAAAAGATCGCGTTGATGACAATGCAACAATCATTTATGAAACAATC